GTGCTGCATGGAAGAGCTTAAGGACGGACGGTTTTATCAAAGCAAAAAAATTTAGCATACACAACACAATAATGTTATAAGTACAAATATAGCACATACAAGGAAAATTATCTAAGGCACACAATATATATATAAGGTAACAAAATATACTAAAGCCTGCTTTTTTAATTCTCTCGGCTTTCTTCCGTAAATAATTCCCGTCCCCGCTGCCTTCCAAAAACCTCTTAATCCTCTAAGCTATCTCAAATAAAATAGGTGTCCAACAAAAGAATAACTCTTTCCCCAAAACCTGGTTGCTTTTTTTTTTTAATTTTCCACCAAATCAAAATTCTCTTGCACAAGTCTCAGTTCCAGCAATTAAAACGTGAATTCCAGCCGAATAACAAATTCTCTGCGGCCCACCTACAAATCTTGGACTCTTTCTTCAAATAAAGCCCAATAAAATTTGTCCTATGGATAAAAAAATATCTTCCTAGCTATGTAGAGCGTAGTAAAAAAAGGGAAGAACACTAACAATTGTTCAAAGAGATAATCTCAAATTTTCAACAATTAAGTCTGTCCCCAAAAAGAGAAGACGATGGTTCTTATCAGATAATATCCTAACTTAAAAGCCCACTAAATGATAAATAAAGGCTCAATACTAATAATAATGATAATAAGAGCCCAATAATAAATAAAGACGACTAATAAAACTGAAATACGCTAAATACGAAGACGATCATATTTATTTAAAAATGCTATCGCGGTCTCGTCTCCATCATCCTCCCCCGGTTGAGAAGGATTCGGCCGCGTATCTGAACCGGCCTTGTCTCCGTCTGAATTGTCGCCCGCGAAAGGCACCAAATGCTTGACGTTAAAAATGTCAGAAGTGCGAATGTGAGACGGAAGGCAAAGACGGTAAGCATTGGGGTTGATTTTGTCGAGAATCTCCACCGGTCCAATTTTACGGGCAGTCATCTTATTAAACTCATGAGCGGGGAATCTGTCTTTCGTAAGAACTGCCCAAACGAAATCACCTACCTCGAACTCGACGTGGCGACAACGGGAATCGGCGGCCCATTTGTAAGCAGTCGTCGTCGACTCCAAATGAGCCCGGGCCGCGGTGTGCGTCTTCAACAGGTCCGCCACCATGTCCGCCGCGCGCCGTTCGACCCCACTGGAAGGTGGTAACGTCGCCAAATCGCACGGCCCCCGAGGTTGGACGGCATACACCAGCTGAAAAGGAGAGAAGCCCGTGGCTCAACCGACGGCGGAGTTATGAGTAAACTCAGCCTGACACAAACGTTGGTCCCAACTTCGTATATTGTCTCCTACCAAACAACGCAGCAAGTTGCCCAACGACCTATTGACCACCTCAGTTTGGCCGTCCGTCTGAGGGTGATAGGCGCTGCTAAAGTCGAGACGGGTGGCAACCATGCGCCACAAGTTCCGCCAGAAATAACTCAAAAACCGTGTGTCGCGGTCAGACACAATAGCCGACGGCAGACCATGAAGACGGTAAATCTCCCGAAAAAATAACTGGGCCACGTGAACAGCATCGGTGGTGCGCTTGCACGGAATGAAGTGTACCATCTTCGAAAAACGATCTACCACCACAAAAATAGAATCAAAGCCCCGTTGTGTACGAGGTAAACCCAACACAAAGTCCATGCTGATCGACTACCACGGCTGGGACAGAATCGGGAGAGGCCTGTACAAACCCGCGTTAGTGGCTACACCCTTCGAAACCTGGCAAACCCGACACCGAGCCACAAACCGGCCCACATCACGCCGCTGGGACGGCCAAAAATTGTTGCGATTAACCAGCTCGACGGAACGATCACGACCCACATGCCCGGTCCCCTGTAAGTCAGCAATGAGTTTCTGCCACAAGCTGCACTCAAGAATACACAAACGAACCCCATGAAAAAGAAAACCATCTGACAAGGAATAATCCTCGTAAGGCCCGGCACGTAATTGCCCCACAATCGGTCCAAAAAATGGGTCATCTGCATACACGTCGCGCAGCACCTCAAAGCCCACGACCGCTACACGCATCTCGGACAACAGAAGGGCACGTCTACTCAAAGCATCGGCGACCCTGTTAGACGCACCCGACCTATGGCGCAGGACAAAAGTAAATTGCTGTAGGAACGTCGTCCAAGAAGCATGCCTCTTCGAAATATTATCTTCGGAGGCTAAATGCCGGAGCGCCTCATGGTCGGTGTAAAGCACGAACTCTCTGTGAAAAAGATAATGTCGGCAATGGCGAACTGCACGAACCACAGCATAAAATTCAACATCACATGTATTGTACCTCATTCTTCATTACATGTGGGGGCCACCTGCAGACTAGATTATCCTAGACCGTTAAATCACATTTAATGCTGCCGAACCGACCTTGAAGGACGAGCCTGTGATTACTATAAATAGCATCATTTATTCCTGTACGAGAATCTTTTTCCGACACATTAAATACACATATAAAACAGCTCGGTTCCACAAATAACTGATTTCTTGTACTTGAATCAGACTTAAAGATAATAAAAATTCAACTAATTTACAGCTTTCTACTCATTTAATCCCTGTGATTATAGTTGTCATATATTCTCTTAATAATATGCGACATTAGATATTATATTTTGACAAATTTATTTCATGAAAAAAATTAACTATATTCTTTTTCATTATTTTAAACAAATTATTATAATTTAAAATATGGACAAAGTTACATGATTGACAAAATGCGTTGGTACTCTCTGCTTCACATGCAGTACTTCCTTCTCCATGAAACCACTTCCCAAATCTTATATCTTTCAAACTGTAAAGCCCTAATTTTCCGATCGTCTTAGCGGTTCGGAAAACCAGGTAAATTTAGTACTATATTTGGAGCTAAAATGGCGGAGGAAAAGGACGCCACGTCGGTGCCCCTGAGCCAAGGCGCTCGCGAGGAAGAAGAAGAAGGGCGAGATCCGGAAGACCCTTTAAAATCTCCTCAAAATCCTCCAGATTCTTCCACCCGTAGCGTAAGTATATTTCATAGCTTTTTTTTTTTTTTTTGTAGTTTGCGTGATAATCATATACTTATTTTAGTAAAGTGTGCGCTGTGAATTGTGATTCAGTTTTATATTTGTTGCATTTATTAATTGCTGAATTTCGAGCTCGGTTATGGGCTTATGGGGCGTTTTTGGTTTACATGAAGTTGTGAACGAGGGTAATTTAGCGTAATTTGGTGTGGTTGTTAGAAATTGAATCCATATTGAAGTACTGGTTTAACTTGATCTTGTTCCCTCGCCATTGACTAAGTTGCGGTGATCTGAGTATATCCATTTTGGGATTTCCCAATTGCCATTTTCTTGATCGATTGATGAAAATTCTTGCTAATCTCCATCGACGTTCGTGTTCTTTTGGATCTTGGGGTTAACATGAATGATTGTAACTGTGAACTTAGGGGAACTTAGGGCTGGTTCAAATAAAAACTAGTTCTGGTGAGAGAACCATAGTTGATGCTATTTTTAATTGTGTATGATGCTATTTTTAATATTACACGATGCTACCATTTTCACAAATGTTAATGTTAATATAAATTGTGTTGCTATTTTTAATAGAATATATCCTGGTTAAAAATAGCACTAAAACACAATCATAGCACTTCATACAATAAAAAGTAGCGGTTTTCACGGTTCTCACGCTAGAACTTGGTTCTCATTTGATATATATAAATATGTATATGTATATATGATTGTTTTAGGAATTTTGGATGATGTGTCTTTTTAAACTTGGAACGAGAACATGTTGGATCTTGCAAATATGTGTGTGCACGCGTGTGTTTTTGTAAAGTGCCGAAAGGTCAACTTTTTTAAACTTTCTTTTATGCCAAAATGACCTTTAAATTTGAATTCATAAGCTTTATCTGGTGAATAATGATATGTCAAGGATGATACTATTCCCCAATATTCTTAAGGTGTGGCTAAATTCACCCCAACATTGCAAATTATACCCCATTTCTTTAGATAAAGAATGAATGTGTAATTGACTAAAATGCCTCATAGGTTAGGAATAGAATTTCCTCAGTTTCTTCCCCAATTCATTAGCTCAAGGAAGAGATGGAGAAACAATTCTTAGTCTTCATTATTAGGAGCTCCTTAAATGTAAGACCGTAATATTCCCGAATTATGCCATCACATTAGGAGAAACACGCAAATCAGAGAGAAGCTTAGAAATGCAATGCAGGCCTGTCAGGAGAAGGCAAAAAAAAGAAAAAGAAAGAAAGAAAGAAAGAAAAGAAATGCTACGGCTCGCTAAAGATGAATAGGAACTTTTCACGTGTAAGGAATTTTTTTCCTTTGATTCATGGGAGGGTCAGGTTATCTTCAGATTAATACAACTATGAAGTTGAAGGCATCATTCCGGTAAGCCTTAAACATGGATCGACGTTTTAGTATACTTGTCATGACGATCACTCACTTTATCTGATATCCATTAATCTCTGAAAGCAGTAGAAAAAACTGTCTGTACTATAGCGTATGTTAAATGACTAAATATACCTTTTAACGGTCTTCTGATCCTATTTGAATCTTAATTGGGTATTATACTGTTGTGATGAGTTCTTCCCTATGAACTTGCTATTTGTTCCCTTTGATGGATAAATGTTGTGCCATTTNAAACTTCTCTTTATTTGTCCCCTTTGCCTTGAGATCGAGAACTTTTTTTTTTTGTTTATTTCCTTATTTATTTTTATGTGCCAGGCTTGCTGTTTTGTTCTTCAAAGCTGGGTTTCAAAAAAGTTTATGACTGGATGGTACTTCTTCACCTTACATTCCAATATTTAAAATAGTTAAATATGTAAACTTCTCAGGTTGACCATAGCCCTGTGCTTAACATTATAATTGCAGTGTTGTCCTATTTCCGATTGCTGTAACATTCTTCGTGACCTGGTGGTTCATTCAATTTGTTGATGGTTTCTTCAGTCCTTTATATGCTCAGCTGGGCATAGACATATTCGGTAAGTTGATCAAAATTATGCTTCACCAATTAACACTCTTACTATAGTTTTGTGCATTTCTCAGATCATTTTTTTTTTTTGTTGAAACACAAATACTCCTTTGAAAATTCGTATGAAGAAATTTAAACTCAGCTGCCACTTTTCATCTTTGGCAGTAATACAATTCAACCAGCTGGAATATTTTCAGATTGTTCGTGATCTTTTTGCATTCGCCTCTTTCACAAATATTGCAATACATATTAGCATGATAAATATTTTGGGTGCAAATCTGCCATTAAGCCTCAATCCATTTATACATCATTTAGTTTGAGTTTGTTTTCGGTCTGCATAACATATCTCAATTCAAGACACCTTAAAGAAAAATTTTATGACCTTATGTTTGTACCTTATTAGTCATTGTTGGTAGTTATATTTTCTCGTTCATTCTTCTGATTTTGAGTTCTTGTTTGGTCATCCTTGTCTGTTCCATTCATGCTTCGGAGCTAATTGTTTTTGTTTTTTATGCAGGACTTGGATTTGTGACATCATTAGTTTTCGTATTCCTTGTCGGTGTATTTGTTTCATCATGGTTGGGAGCGACAGTTTTTTGGATTGGAGAATGGTTTATAAAGAGAATGCCATTCGTTAAGCATCTTTATTCAGCCTCTAAGCAAATTAGTTCCGCAATTTCCCCTGGTAATGAATAAACATACCATGCCTGCTTTTGTATAGAATGTTAATAATGTAAATCTTTCTATAGAATCATTTTGTGTAGAATTTTCTCATTAAGCCAAGGGTTAACGTGACAGAAGTTTATCATGCCCTTCATCTATGAATTTATTTTGGCTCATGATATTTGATTGCTTCTAGCTAACATGGCAAAGGATTTATGGAAATCCTCTAAAATATCTTGTTGACCACATTCGTAATTTATCTATTCATTTTCTTCGGACGCTTTTGCTTAAACGTCCAAGTTTAACCTAACCAGTTGAATGTCATGGAAAAATCGAGATTCATGATGTACACTGAGGACATTTACCTTTACTCATGTACCACCGACAACTTCAATTCAAGATAATTAAGCATCGTAGCCTAATTTAGCTTTTCCATAGTTGAATAGATTATTTTTAACAAAGTTCTTATTGGTATACAACTATAAAGTTAATCCTCCCCAAAACATGGGTGATTCTGGAGATGATTTTTATGTCTTTCTTCAGCTTCTTAGTTTGGTTTATATTCACACTTGAATCTATACTCACTGTACATTGCAGATCAAAATAATACCGCATTTAAGGAAGTGGCAATCATACAGCACCCACGTGTCGGTGAATATGCATTCGGCTTTATCACGTCATCAGTTGTCCTTCAGGTATTACCATGGTTCTAAAGATGCAGATGGACATCTAGCAGTTGGCTTTCTATGAGGAATAATTATTATTTGGTTGGATTTTCGCCAAAAGATAATCCCCTGTTTTTTTAAGAGATAGAACATTGCTATCCCTGTATCATGAATGATATAATAAGAAAAACTAAAACAGGAAAAAAAAATCAATAATTTGCAGTCATATTATCCCAAAAATTACATCTTAAGGTCATTCACTTTTATACGGAAAAAACAATCATGCTTGTCCCAATTAATTCTCAACATAGTCAGAATCCTAAGTGTAATTATAACAAAATGTTAGCTATTTTGCAAATACATCAATCATTAAACAATTAACGAAGGGTATTGACAAGCCTAGGTCTTGGTCATTTATACTTTATTGGCAGAATTATGCAAAGGTGATTCATGCTTAATGTTCTTAGAACATGCCTTTTAATATAGCATTCCTATTACTAGTTTTATCATAATTTGTTTTCCTTCCCTTATTCTTAAATTTTATTTTCAATCATCTGAAGCTTATTCATAGTTTTTATTACATAACAAAACTGTAGTCTACTCAGCATGAAACTAGTGTTGAAATAAGTTGAACTGTGAATGGTTCTAATAAGTTGATAATTTGTGGTTTATTATCCATGGGGTTTAGAGAGACGATGGAGATGAAGAACTATGTAGTGTTTTTGTTCCAACAAATCATTTGTATATTGGCGATATATTCCTGGTTAATTCAAAGGATATCATACGACCCAATCTGTCCATCCGTGAAGGAATAGGTATGTTTGGGGTGTAGTATAAGATCTCGTTTTTTTTTTTTTTTTTNCCAAAATATCTCATGTATTTTTTGTTCCTCAAAATTTTATTGAAATTGCAGAAATCATTGTTTCTGGTGGTATGACAATGCCACAAAAGATCACGCCAATTTCCCCAATCGAAAGAGTTGTTGCTCGACAAGGCGAAAGGATTCCCCTAAGTAGACTAGTCTGAGTTGACCTCAGGTATCTACTATTGCTCATATCTATATGGTTATAAAGGGCAATTACATGATACAATGTGGGAGTGGAAAGAATAGAGTTGTAATGAAGTACGTGAATGTATGGTCGATACCTTGTTTGACGATGTTACTATATGTATGTATGTATTGTGACATGTGACATGGGAAAAATTAATCTGATGTATTATTCTATTTGTTGTTTCATATTTTGAAGGTGTTGGTGTTAGTTCCGTAGTTGAATATACTACCGAGTGTGCGCTCCTTCGTTATGCAATGCGTAGTTAACGTTGTATGTATAAAGTACATAACTACATGTATATGTGTAGTGTTCCCTGTTTTTCTCAGCTGTGAAAATGGGGCTGTTTATTTTACTTGGAAAAGATCGGGGATGTATTTGCAAAATATTGATGTCGGTCAAAATTGTCAACTTAACAGGAACATTGACTTGGCATTTCAAGTCGGTATGGTTATCTAGGGCGCAGAGGCAAGAAATGTATTTTTGTAAGGGGAAAGATTTGATTACAGAGTTTTTTACTATTAGACTATATAATTCAAATGATTTAATGGCATTTGATGATATAGTTGCGGACTAGTTTTCAATATATTTTGGTATTTAAATGTATTGACAAATATGAGAATGTGTTTTTACAGAGATGCATTAATGAAATGTTGATGTGGATATGATGTGGAGGAAAAAGAATATAACTAGTGTTTAAATGAACGGATATGGTTGAGGATACTCTAAGAATAGCGAAGCGAAAGATGGAAAGGTTACGTGTTCATTGGAAAAAGAGATGATGATTGATGAATGAAATTGAATTTAAGAAATACTATGTTCTTGAAAAATGACTTTTAATTTTGGATATCCTGGAATACTATACCTTTGTTTGAGGTTATTTGTAATAATAATTTATGAGACATGTTTATAATTAGTATTTATCAACCAACATTTTATTATTTCACTTTTCATCTTTATCCTTAGTTTTGAACGATTTTCTAATTCTTTTTTTTAAAAAAAAAAAAAATCTATATCTAATCACAACCTGTCAAGGTACATGAAAGTAGTAATCACTCAACAAACTTAGTTAAAAAAAAAAAATCTATATCTAATCACAACCTGTCAAGGTACATGAAAGTAGTAATCACTCAACAAACTTAGTGCATAAATTGATTGGGAAAATGTTGGGTATTCAAACCAAGTTGTGGGATACTTATGAGCATGACAGTATACAAAAATATATGTCATGTACTTTTTTTTTCTTACACGATGACGAACTTTAGGCATACCACTTGTAACACACTTCAGTAATGAAGGCCTTTCATTTCATTACACCTACCGAAACCGATACCTAACATAGGATTATAAGCAAGCAATCGTGTCTTTGTGCGAAAGATTCAGTTGAACAATCCCATAGAATATTACTGAAGACAAGAATTCAGAGTAAAATAACAAAGGCGAAGATTTAGAATCGCCAGAAACGGCCCCTTCTAGTGCGGGCCCACGCCAAGGCAGCAACCGTAGCTCCACCCAAATGAGCAGATCCTGAAATTTGAGTATCACCCTGCCCATAAAAAGCTAGCGTAAATGTTACGTTTTAAATATTCAAGAAAAAAAAAATTGTTCCGAATATAGAGAATCGTGACTTGATTATTCATTCATGAGAAAATTTAGTATATGAATCAATCACGATCACTAATACCAAAGGAGAAAGAGAAAGACTGAGTCCCCAATTCGAGTATACCTCTAATATCCTCAACAGATCTTTACCAACGATAAATATTCCCTGGCAGCACAACAAATTACGAACAGCATATCATATATTAGTCTTGCACAATATATAGGCTAAATTGGATTTTTTGTCCTGCTGGTTTAACGTCATAACAATTTTAGTCCTAAGATTCTAACATTTCGCCTTTGATTTAACAAATTCCCAAACTAGGACTGAAATTGTAACAAATTCCCAAACTTATATCTTTAGGATGGATTTTTTATTAGCAATTTAAGTCCTGTAATTTAAAATTTTTGTTGCAATTTCAGTCCTGTAGTTTTAATTTTTGCCTGCAATTTCAGACCTCAAACAGTTGAGATATGAAAACCTTATGACCAAAATTGCTATGGCGTTAAACTAACAGGACTAAAAATGCATTTTTACCCAATATATATGAAAACTGTAGCCTTTTACCAATAAAATAGCTGGAACGGGTATAATGAAGTCGAGATAGAGGGTCTTTGTTGGAAATAGAAATATATCAAGAAGCAAAATCGCATTCACAGCTCCACTTGCGCCCTGGAAGTAAGTTGAGCAAATCATCAATTCGAAATGTTCATGCTTTTAGCTAGGATAACTAAAAAATATAGAAACTGAAATAAATAGTAAATGCTTCATCTTTATTCTGCTGTCAGAAAGCTATAATACATTTCATCTTCTGTAAAAAGATCATGTCGACTTAATGATGCTTATTGTATTAACATCACAATGTAGATCTCAGGAAGAAAAGTACCCGTGAAGAAGATCTTGTGATATTTCATTTGAAAATTTGGATAGTATAATAAATTAGATTAACTCATTACATATATTATATTCAATACATACTGGCACACATACATTGTACA